CTTCAAGTCTCCCACGTGGAGTAGATATATCACATCTTTTTTGATGTAGAAGCCTTTAGCTGAAGTCAATTAATTTCACAATCAATATACACTAGCTGCAAGCTAGATTGGCCAAAAATGTTCTTTATCCTCCTAGTTTCAGAGATGTATGTAGATAGGTTTGGCTTGAATCGCTTGACTTGCTAGTCAGTAGCAAGTGGATTCAAATTAGAGCTAATTTCTTGGCAGTGTTTAGAAAATAGGCCACTAATGGGCCATAACTTATGTATATAAGAGATATATATATCATTGGACCATTTTACACGGTAGAATGTAGAAAAAAAGAGTGAGATACATCAACTAAATTCTTAAGTCGTGACTAATGAGGATTTTGCATAACGTTGCCTCTTTAGAGTAAGATAAGCTAAGAAATGTACATCTTAAGCCATGAATAAGTCTTCTTCAAGTCTCCCACATGGAGTAGATATGTCACATCTTCTTTGATGTAGAAGCCTTTAGCTGAAGTCAATTAATTTCACAATCAATATACACTAGCTGCAAGCTAGATTGGCCAAAAATATTCTTTATCCTTCTGGTTTCAGAGATGTATGTAGATAGGTTTGGCTTGAATTGCTTGACTTGCTAGTCAATAGCAAGTGGATTCAAATTAGAGCTAATTTCTTAGCAGTGTTTAGAAAATAAGCCCACTAATGGGCCATAGCTTATGTACATAAGGGATATATATATCATTAGACCATTTTGCGCAGTAGAATGTAGAAAAAAAGAGAGTGAGATACATCAACTAAAATTCTTAAGTCGTGACTAATAAGGATTTTGTATAACGCTACCTCTTTAGAGTAAGATAAGGTAAGAAATGTACATCTTAGGCCATGAATAAGTCTTCTTCAAGTCTCCCACATGGAGTAGATATATCACATCTTCTTTGATGTAGAAGCCTTTAGCTGAAGTCAATTAATTTCACAGTCAATATACACTAGCTGTAAGCTAGATTGGCAAAAAATTATTCTTTATCCTTCTGATTTCTGAGAAGTATATAAATAGGTTTGGCTTGAATCACTTGACTTGCTAGTCAATAGCAAGTGGATTCAAATTAGAGTTAATTTCTTGGCAGTGTACGAATAATAGGGTATTTATAGGCCATAGCTTATGTACATAAGGGATAAATATATATAAATAGATTTAACCAAGACAACTGAAAAGACGGAAGAAAGAAGCATAGCCAATATACCTCCAAAAGTTCAGAACCCCAAGGACGGCTTGTTAAAAAAATCCCTACTCAAGAGTAAATTTTAGATTTATTAAATTTTAGGGGGTAGGGAATAAAAGCCAAAGTCATTATCTGGTACAGATAATTATTAGTCTCATTACCAAATCTTAATTGCAACTGCTTTAGAAAAAAAGGCTAAAGGACAAATAACACGATAATATTTTCAAATACTTCACAAATGACCCCCTCCATGCCTCTTATCTGCGAAGATATCTTAATCACAAAGGCAGATAAGAAATGTTATAAAATTGTATTGTTTGATGAAGTATTCCATAAGTTGATTAGTACAACCTCCAGTTGAAAGCAAATTTTGGTTCACAAGTTAGAATTACATCATTATTTGTTTCACAAAAAATGTAAAGCTCTAAATGAGCAGAAACCTTCTAAAGCTCAGCTAACTCATTGACATAATTACATTTGACATACAAAAAGCCCATTTTCCATAGCCTCCCCTACCCTCTACCTCGTCCTCATCTTCTCCTATTGGCATTG